GGCTCTCTGACCTCCTTCCACATAGGACTCCGGATCCTGTGGGTTCTCCGCCAGGAAGCCAACCTTGGACGCACTGGCCTCATCCGCTACCATGTACAGCAGCATCGGCCTCAACCAGAGCACCGTATCTCCATCCACCTTGTCCATCAGCACCTGAGGAAGCCCATGACGACCAAAGCGCTCCTCTCGCGGTCCCGGCTGCACAAGCCTCATCCTTGAGATAGTCCGACACGGAGGGCCCGCCAAGATCTGCTTCACCTTTCCCGAAGCACACAGCTCCATCAGATAGGCCATCACGCTGTCTTTTCCAACATCCTGGCCTTCTCCAAGCTCCAGATCAATGCAAAGCACCACTCTGTCTGCTGTTTCCAACTCCTTCTCCCAGAACTTCGCGTCCGGGCCCGAATAAAGGTGGAGGATGACCTCCTTGGCCTTCTGAATCCTCCTTCTCGTCCGCCTATTCCACGGCAAACTCGTCCATTCCGACCTCGGGGGCAGCCGCTCCAGAATGCGTTCTGGCACTTCAGGAAATAGCTCCCTCAGCCTCCGAAGCCATTTGACCATCTCCAGGCCAACCTTCTCCTCCTCCTGCGTCGTCAACGGCTTTCCTCTCAACGCCATCAACCGCATCTGGTGCTTCAGCGCCTCCAGCTCCAACTCCTTGATGAGCTCCAGCCCGAGGCTTTCATCTACCGTGGGACAGCCTCCTTCCAAAGCGGTGTCTAGAGTCCGCCCATGCTGATCAGTCAGCTGAAAGCGGTCCTCTTCGAGTAGCCCCTCTGCGCCAGGTACCCCAGGGGAACGATGGGCTGGACCTCCTCTGTGGTCAACAACGTCCTCGTCCACGGGATGAGCCGCAAAGAGACCGTACCCTGCGCCAAATGCACCTCGACCTCCCGAGCCTCCTCCCACTCTTGTGCAGACACACACACTGCCTATCCAGCAGCGCCCTCTTGTTCTTGACCTCCAGGGAGCTCACTTGAATCCTCCTCAACTCAGGGCCCCTCAAGCTCTTCAGCAATCCCGCTGCTTCCTGAATGAGTCCCCGCACTGCTTCACCATCACTTCCATCTGACTGTGATGTCCTCCCTGCCCCTGACGCGGGCGATCCTTCTCCTCCACCGGTAGTAGGCGCCGATGCATCCACCTCGACCTTCTTCACGGCCTGGCCCTTCACATCGTTCTCGCTGAAGTTCTTGGCTCCACCATCTCCATCGCGAGGCTTTCGCACCTTCACCGGGCAGTCCTTGCGGGTATGCGAAGTCCCTCCGCAATTCCAACAGCGTCCACGCTTGTCCCCGTCGAACTCGTGCTTGTAGGTGCAATCCGCTCCCTTCTTGCAACCACCATCTGTGAGGAAGAACCGGCGCACAGGAGCCGCCGAAGCATCCTTGCCCTTGCCCTTCCCTCCTCCTTTTGGGCTGTCCTTACCCTTTTCCCAACCTCCTCCATCCTTAGTAGATGAGGTTGAAGCTCCGTGTAGTGCTGCTTCTCCTTCCGCCAGGACGACGTCCGCCAGCTGCGCCACCGCCTCCAAACTGGGAGCCACGTCCACCCGCAGTCCAGCTCGTGCCGCATTCAATCTGAACATCGCCTGGCCAGAATGCTTCGTGACCATCCGACGAACCGATCCAGATCCGGAATCGCCACCTTCAGCTCACGGGTCCGGGCAAGCCACCTTTTCCAAGTCCTCACCCCATCCACTCAGCGTCGTTGGCACCCGCGGCTCAACCAAGCCTCTGAGGAGTTGTGATCTCTCCGCCAGCCCTCCTGGCTGGTACCTGGTAAACACCCGGAACAGAATCTCCCAGGCCGTTGCAGCTCGCTCCGCAAGCACCTCCGCTTTCAACCCTGGTGGCAAAGCAGCCACCAACATGGCCTGTGCCCGCTGAGCCACCCGACTCCAACGACCACCATCATCTTCCACCGCCCGCGGCCTGATGTGAAGCCGCTGCAAAGGATTCGCCTGCAACCACTGCGCATAGGCCTCTGCCGCAACTGCAAGCACCTGATCCCACCATGCTCCGGAACTGACAGTGAGGTCCTTCATCACCAGGCTGATCAACATCAGCCAATCCCCCACCACCAACGACCCGAGCTCGCCTTCCTTCACCTCACCCAATGCCGGCCACTTCACCGTGCGAACGGTTTCTCCAGGCGTCCATCCTCCAATCCACGGGTTCATGGCCGCCGCACCTCCACCAGGACCTCCGGGTCCACCAGCGCCATAAGGCCACCCTCCATGAAACCCTCCGCCAGGTAGATGCTGATCTGCATGACGACCAGCCGCACCAAACCCACCTCCTTCGTGCCCAGGTGGCTGGCCCTCACCTCGAAGACCCGCATCGTGACGTCCAGTGACCCACCCGTTTCCATAGCCAGGTAGTAGCGCTCCTTCAGAAGGATCTCCTGGCCCTTGCCCACCTCCGCGATGCGCACCTCCACGACCAGGTTCTCCCCCTTGAGGTTGTTCAGGATGAAGCCCTCCAGGACCATCATCTGCTCGACGCTCCCGAGGTCCTCCTCCAGGCGGTGCACCACCATAGGCTCCCGCCAGTGCCGTTGGGGTTTGGTACCCGCTCTGATCTTCAAGTCCTCCTTGCCGTGCTCGCAGCACCAAAGGTCCGCCAACTCCACCTCCTCCAGGAAGACCTAAAAGATCACCGCCTCCCGGAGCCGGACGAGGCGCTTCCACCCCCGGCCCCATCCTAGGACCACGTGGCGCATCCCCCAACTCCTTCATGGCCTTGCTTCCGCCGCCTTCACACACCTGCTCCTTAAGGCTTTTCATCTCTTGCCAGAGCGCCTGGTTCTGCGTGATGACCTGCTTGAAGGCACCGAGGAGCTCATCAAGGCCACCCGCCGGGATCTCCGCGCTGTAGATCGAGCCCACTGGCAGCGCTCCCGGGCTTACCAGCGACCCTTGTTCCTCCTCCACCTCCGGCAGATCCTTCGGGCGAAGCGCCTTGAGCTGCGCCTCCTCCTTGGCCTTCTCAGACCAAAAAGGATTCACATCCACCGCCGGCCCCAGCGGCACCGCGTCCTCGCGGCTTGGCTGCCACGGCACCATCGCCGTTTCCGGCGAGTCAGCGGTCTGCGCCGACCCAGCCGAGGATGCCATGGCGTGCCCTTAGGAGGGCCTACAGGAAAAACGTTGGGCTCATAACCCACTCAACTAACTGCAGGCTACTTTCCTTCTAACTTCCAACCAAAGAACTTATCCATACCCGACGGTTTCATCCATAACTCAAGCATCAAGATTAATTGATGGATAAAATTAATTGTTAATTGATTATAATGTGGTTAATTATTAATTAATTAATTAATTATTATTAATTAATTATTATTGGTAATTATTAGTAGTGAATTTAATTGGTAATTAATTAATTATTATTTAATTGATATTTAGTATTAATTTATTTATTTAATTTATTGTAATTTAATTGGTAATTTGAATTTATTAATTAATTAATTAATTAATTAATTAATTATTAATTAATTGATGTAATTAATTAATTAATTAATTAATTAATTAACTAATTAATTAATTAATTGTTTAATTAATTAATTAATTAGATTTCTTTCTTATTTGTTTTACCAACTGCACGAGTCAGATTTTTTCTTTGCTATTTGTTTCAAACTTATTTAGGTGATTTTTCTTTGCTATTTATTTACAACTTGAAAAGCGAAGTCGGATTTATTTTTGGGTGAAGTGATCCATTTTGAAAATAAAGGCACTTAGTCCTAAATCAAAGAGGTCACTTAAGCCATTTAAAGCGCACTTAGACCCTCAGGGTTGCCGCCCCCAGCAGATCCCTCCTCAGTCCGGGCAAATCGAGCCGCAGCGACACGTGAATGCGAATGACACTCACACGGGGGGGGGGGGGGCTGGGCAAATCGAGCTGCAGCGACACGCGAATGACACTCACGCAGGGGGGAACGACACTAGCGTAAGTGACCTTTTCAAGGGGTAAGTGACCTCGATTCGCACAACCACTGACACTCAAATGACACGCTTCCACACTCACAACGCCATGTTCGGGCTTTCCGGGTCGGCCCCAATCAAATGTAGCAGTTGTCACACTTCGACACGGGCAGCCGTTCGATTTGAACAGAATCCCAGCCCCTATCAAGTTACAAGGGCACTTAGCAAGCGAATCAAAGGGTCACTTAGGCCACCGACACGGCCTTAAGTGCCCTCGATTCAAACACGTCAAGTGCCCTTCATTGGAGGGCACTAAAAATATGCTGGTACTTTTTGTTTAAATGATGGATGGATTCATACTAAGTGGATTGGATTGGATTGGAATGGATTGGATTGGGTTGGGTTGGATTGGAATGGATGGATTGGATTGGATTGGTTTGGGTTGGATGGCATGGGATGGGATGGGATGAATGGATGGATGCATTGGTAGCTTGATTGTTTGGTTTGCTTTGCTTTGCTTTGCCCTTCCCTGCTTTGCTTTGTTTGTTTGTTTGTTTGTTTGTTTGATTGATTGATTGATTGATTGATTGATTGATTGATTGATTGATTTGACTGATTGATGCAATTAATTAATTAATTAATTAATTAATTAATTAATTAATTAATTAATTAATTTAATTAATTTAATTAATTTAATTAATTAATTAATTAATTAATTAATTAATTAATTAATTAATTAATTAATTAATTAATTAATTAATTAATTAATTAATTAATTAATTAATTAATTAATTAATTAATTAATTAATTACACACATGCACATACGTACATCACGTACATCTTGTCTCTGTCATCTGTGTGTGTGGGCGAATAGAATGCAAGTTGGTCCGTCATGCCATTGCTGGCTAGTCACTGAGGGACATACCTGCTTGACTGCCCTCAGTCACTCCAAGTTAGTCACAGCGGGACTGTGCATTTACGAGAAGCCTCGCTAGTATGTTTTCAAGATGCTGCTAGCTGCTTTTGGCCTTGTGCCAACACACTGCAAGTTCTGCTTGTTGCACGGAAGCTCAGGATGCAGTGGGCCAGCTCCTTGTCCAACAAGGCCTGTGAGAGCCTGCGGTCATCGCTAGCTTCAGCTTCGACGAGCTGTAGATTTGTCAAGGATTCTTCCCAGAAGCCTGCGGCGCAGCGCGGTGAACCTGCAACAGCCTCTGCCGCAAGGCTTTAATGAAGGCTTCAATGTTGGACAACTCGTTTTTGGCCGCCATACCTTTCTTTCATGTGGGTGGGTCAAAATTAAGCCACCAGGGGGACCGCAGGTTTAGTCTTTGGTTCCATTACCAGGGTTCCGTTTTGGAGTTACCCTATTTTTGACAACCACTGCCATGTAAGGTTTCGCCCTCGCAGATGCGCGCAGAAGGCCAAGGCGCTTTGCTGGCCGAGGCTTCTTCGCCCAGCCTCGTGCCAGGCAACCCTCAGAGCCTTTTGCCATAGCTTCTGAAGGCGGAGTTTATGGGACAGGGTCTGTGTTTTTTTCGGCATTTCTCAAATCAATTTGTTGAGGGAATATCCGCCCTTGGACTGAATGAATGCGCCAAGTGTGCGCAAAAAGTACAGGCAAAAGTTCTCGATGGTGGGAGTTCCGCTCTTTCTCCGCTAACCAGTCGACTTCAGAGTCATACCTGTGTTGAGTCTCGCTTTGTAAATCTAGTGTTTCCAGGCCAGGCAAGCAAGCTTGGCACTTGCTTCAAGAAGAGGTCGAGTCATGATGGTGAGTCCAATGTGGTGAGCGAAAAGTCCGGTGTATACTCACCCTGCACGGATCTATGGACTCAGTCGATATTTGGTGTAGTTGAGGCAAAATCTTTCCTTGAACATTGAGCATTTACGCATGCTCCATGTCGCGCTCGAGTTGCTGCTACAGGACTGATGCCGACGCAAGAGGATGCTTAGCTCACAGGCTGTTTGCATGGCAGCTCGCGTTATCATTCGCAATACTGCCTGTTCGTGCTGCATCCTCCTCACACACTCAAGATGCAGCAGTGCGCAGCGTTGAATCGCACGAAGGTTGCAACGAGAGAAAGGATGTCAGAGACCGCTTGTGAAGGGAACGGCTGGACTTGAACCGTGAGGGGGTGCATGCTGCATTGGCCCGCCCCTGCAGAAGCTCAGGTTCGTAATCGCACAGGTCACATCACACAGAAGCGTGTTGCATAAAACGCGGCTTTGCGAGGCTGAGAGCCTCTTGAGCACCGCCCACTCCTTGAATCAAGCAACAGCTCAGGTCTTCTCTTTTTTTTCTTTTTTTTTTTTTTTGGGGGGGGGGAGTTGTCAGGAGGGGAAGGGAAGCATGAGGCGGTTGAGCATGGCGCCATGGCCACGCTGGAGCTGTGGGGGCTCGGCTCGTGCACCTGGACCGCAAGCACAGGTCCTGTTCCGGTGACATTTGCTGCACCCGTTTGCTGCTGACGGCCCAGTGCGACTGGGGCGCCGAAGATTGAGATTGACAAAGCTTGCGAGGGCTCAAGGAGTTAAAAAAAAGAAGAAAAACAACATGTAAAGGGTCATGGTTCAGCTTCCTCAGAACTGCACAAGTGCATGCTTGTTAATCCTAACAAGATTCATCCAGCAAACGCATTTCTGAGAAGCCGAGAAACGTCCCTAGCCATGAAGGTTGGCGTCCTTCTTGCCGTGGCAATGGCCACTTGCAAATGCCAGGCGCAAGAGTTCTCAGTGCACGCGCTGCTGCAGTCTGCTGTGGGTCGTGACCTTCCTACCGGCTGCGTTGGCAATGCCACAGCGGCGGCGTGGACTGATGGTTTTAAGGCTGCGGTGGATACAATGATGCAACGAACCAAGCGGACAATGCAACTTGGGCTAACGTCAGTAGCCCAAGGGGTGCTGAAGCTTATTGAAGAGATCCCGGAATGTGGTGACTCAGTGAAATTCAAGCCTTTGAAAGAGCAAGCAGAAAGGCTGAAGGTTCTAGCCAGCACAAGAAGCTTGGCCGGGCTTGATGCTACAGTTAAGTATGAGCCTTTGAAGGGTCTGACCCTTGGTGGTATTGACGTGCACGCTGAACTCAATGCATTGCTTGTGGCGTGGCAGATGAATAATGGCCCTGACATGGTTGGCAAGGCGTTGGCCAAGTTCTTGGCGGAATTTTCCGAGGATTCCGATGCGGATGCAGAGGTTCCCAGCTTGCCCGTCGAAAGCCCTACACATCGCCCCGGCGCCCTCCAGCGCACGACCTCCTTTTGGGCCAGCCTGCTGAACTCAGCCTTCGGCCGGCTCTCGGACAACAGCCGGCCAGTGGCTGAGTCATGTGTTGCAGATGGAACCGCCCACCTCAACGCGGATAAGTTCGATGAGGCGTTTGGGCGGATGATGCAGAAGTCTCAGCGCAGCATGCAGGCTGGCTTGAGGATTCTTGCAGTGGCCGTCAGCACCTTGCTAGAGAATCTGGAAGAACACATTGCTTGCCAGCAGCCGTTGCGGGCCTCAGCAGGTGCTGCCAGACTGCGTGCCGCGGCAAGCCGCCTGGAGACACTGGTTGGCACAAGATCGCTGGTGAATCCCGGGACCAAAGTAAAATATGAGGCCATGCAGCACCTCAATATCGGCGGGGTCGATGTTCATTTGGAGCTGAACAAGCTGATTGGAAGTTGGATCCAAGACAAGGCAGCGCATGAAGTCGGAGATAGCCTTGCCGATTTCTTTGAGGACTTTCGTGAACAGGAGGAGGAAGTAGAGGAAGCAACAGGGGAGTTAACCGACTTGACGAAGATGTGGTCTGATGCAGTGTCCGCAGCGGGGGGCTGCTCCGCACAAGGTTGCTTCCAAGAAGACCTTCTCACACAGATGGCGCATGAAATCGAAGCTGCCATAGAATTAATGCTTAAGAAGCGACGCAAAACTATGCAACAGGGCCTGAAAGAACTTGCAGACGCAGTTGACAAGCAGGTTTCAGCTATGCCAGCTCTTTGTCAGGAGTGCCCTGGGCTGCTTATAATCAGAAGAGGCTCGCGGAAGGTGAGAAAATTGACTCGCATGCTGGTGGTGGATTATGGGACCTACATCAAGTACGAGGCGCTCAAATCCTTAGAGGTAGGCGGCGTAGATGTGCATTCGGAGCTGAATGCCTTTCTGGTGGCTTGGAAGCTTCGGGGTCGTAGGGAAGCGGGCCAGCCGCTTGGCCAACTGCTCCAGCGCTTCGCCACAATCACGGGTCATGACGAGTTCTAGCTGAAAAGGAAATGGCGTGTGCGAGCTTTGGCAGAGCCGAATTTGTCAGTTGCCCAGCACAAGAGCGTTGGTGGAGTTGGCATGGCAGGGCAACACGCGTTCAGGTGCTTGTCCTGCCGGAGTTCCAACAAGGCCACCGGCAGGGAGACCCGTTCAGTGCATAAGCTGCTCAATTTATGTGTGCACGATATGTAGGCTAGACGGCTAGACGTTCAGCCGGTCTGGGGCTGAGTTTGCCTTTCATACTGGTATCGCTCATGGGCAAGGTTGCAGCTCGCAACTCTTCGAAGGCAGAGCTTTGCGAGTTTACAGCTTTGTACATGATTGGCAAGGGGCCTTTGCCTGAACCATTCTTGGCCACAGGACAGACTCACGCGGGCCATGATCGACTGTAGGCTTGCCATTCAAGCCGCGTCTTGGTTTCCAGTACTATTCTGCACTTAGAGCACCGGGTCATGCGGATTGCATGGAGGTCGCTTGAAATTCACATTTGCCGCCAGCATTAGCTTTGCAGTGACCAGTGTCAACTGTTCCACGCGCTGCCTCAAGCTCAAGGTTTGCTAGTCTGCTCGACAGTATGGTTTCCCAAGCGTTTGCAGGATGGATTTCCATTTTCATCGCAACTCTCGGCTTCGGATCCCTATTTGTGCCAGTGAAGAACTACGAGATCTATGATGGCCTGGTGTATCAATGGTTTCAGTGCTGCGGCATCCTGCTGGCCGGCTTGACTCATGCCGTTTGTATGAATGACTGGAATGCTAGTGGCTTGAGTGCACCAGGCTTCTATGTGTGCCGAGAAGGTCTTCTTTCCGGAGTCTTTTTCCAGCTTGCCAATGTCTTGGCGACCCAGTCTGTAAAACGCTTTGGCATGGGCAACTACTTCACCACACAGAAGGTGACCAACCTGGGAGGGGCCTTTGTTCTTGGAGTTTATGGGGATCGATTTGGGCTTCCGTGCAACCCGCCCAGGAGTCCACTCTTGGCACTTGGTGGGTGCTTTTGTGTCATGCTTGGCATGGTGCCGCTTGGCTTCACAGAGTCGGAGGATGGCAAGGGCGATGACAAGCGTCCTCACCTCATCCCACCGCAGCATTGCGATTTGGGTGGTTACCTCATGCTGGACGAAACCTCTGAGATGGGAAGTGCTTTGGGCACACCCGTGTACCCACGTTCTGAGCCTGGGAGTGGTCGGGCCACACCTGTGATTCCAGCGCGATCGCGGCCCTCAAGTGCAGCCTGGTTTCAAGGGTTGGCTTGGTCGCTCCTTGCTGGCATGGTATTTGCAGTGATCTACATCCCCGTTCTTCCTTGGAAGCAGAGGCTGTCACAAGAGAACGTGACGTTCTCACCCTTTGACTACTTTCTTTCCATTAGCGTCGGCCTTTTCATGTCTTCAACAGCTTACATGCTACTGGGAGGGGCGATGAGGAAGTACCAGGGCAAGAAAATGATGAAGTCTGTGTTGCGGCCAGCCTTATTAAATGGCATCATGTGGTCAATTGCCAGCATGGCTCAGCTCTATGCATTGGCTGTGATGCCGTATGCAGTTGCGTACTGCCTCGTTTGCGGCGGTGAAGTTGCGGTGAGCCTTCTTTGGGGAATCTTTGTGTTCAATGAGGCGGCCACGCCGCACAACTTTCGATGTACAATGCTCGCCTTTAGCGGTGTGCTGGTTGGTGTTGTTCTTGTAGCTGCCTCAAAGTAAGGCGCAGCCGAAGAGAAAAATCCGGTTGCGATGATGAGAACGGTTCAGGGCGGGGTACTTTGCGAGTAGTGCTAGTTGGTTCGTTCACTTATGTCTAGCCGGACTGCATACCAGGCCTTCTTGGGAAACGCTGCCCTGCACTTAGTGGTCTGGTCCTCAGATCGATTAACCACACATGTTCTTTGATGTGGATGGGCGCGCGTAGGTCTTGCCTGTGGCCCGTGATGGAACACTTGGCCCGGGCCGGTGAGTGGGGATGGCGGTACTTGTCTGTTTTGGAAAGTTGGCAGCTCTTAACTTTGTTGTGTGTCCTCTGGCCTTGTGGCCTTGTTGGGTTCCGAATTGGTGTTCCACAGCAAACTGAGCTTACCGGTCAGATACAAAAGAACGATGCTGCTCCATGTCGCCGGAGCCTGACAATGTGCATGCCTTACCCAGCTGATGGCCAGGATTGAGCAGTTTCCGAAGTCGCCCTCGCTCAACAGCTGCCATGCGCTTTAACCAACATAAGCGTGGCAATTGGCTCCAGGGCTGCCACACATCCAAGCCATGAAGTGCGCAAGCCGGCCCTACAGTGCGTCTTACCTAAGTCAGCCGGTCTTTGTGCATGTTTGTTTTTGGGCATTACCACGTTTTGCCAGATCTTGGGGCTTGTCCTTGTGAGGTTGCGAGCAGCCGTGCAAAAGCACAGCTGACGCATGCGCTATCGGCACAGAGCAGCGATGCAAAGCTACGTCGCGTGCAGCAGGCGCGGGTAGCCATCAACAGGCAGAACCGACAAGAGGTGCAACGGGCAGCCAGGCAGCCAGGCACCCAAAACAGCACTAGCGGCACCTTCTGTTTGCCTACGCAGGCACTGTACTTTAATATTTACCACCGCTGAATTGCATGACGTGTGAGTCAACCTCAACTTCACCAAAGACAACTTTAGTACAGGTGCTTCAACCGCCTGTGGATTTTTTGGTTTTCCCTTAGAAACTATGTCAAGCATGGTTTACTTTTGTTTATTTTTGTGTTGCCTGCAGCGCTCGGCCTCGGGAAGGGGAACAACGACAACAGAGTTCTTGAAATTCCGCGAAGTGTTTAACAGGATGCCCCCTCGACACCCTACAATACTGCGGTGACGAGCACAATCCGTCCATGTGAGGCCTAGCGCGCAAGCAACCAGCCAAACGGAGCATGAAAGGCCAGTACTACAACCCCTACTACGACTACTACCACCACTACTACTACTACTGCTACTGCTACTACTTATTATTGCTCCTCCTCCTGCTACTACTGCAGCTCCTGCCAGCATTGCTACTGCTGGTAGCATTTGCTACTGGCATTGCTGCTGCTACTATTACTACGGTTACTGCCGCTACTAGCAGTTACAGTCCTGCAAATCACTTTTACAACTGCTGCGACTGCCATTGTTTCTGTTTTCATCGTTGCGCTGAACACTTGCAACCTTCGAGCCGAGCTGCAGAAGTGCACTTCCCACACGGCCTGAGTACTGAACAGTCCCGAGTTTCAAGTTGGCTTTGGCGCAGTCTTGAGCGGACTCCCCGCCCAAACCAGAAAAAAGCGGGAAACAGGGCTCATCTTGTCTGAAATGAACGTAGACCACCAAAAATCATTGAGGCCTCATGATCCACTGCAGGTGCTGGACTTGAAGGTGCTGGATTCCAAGCTGGTGGTCCTGGCCCGCCGCGAGGTGGAAGGGAGGCAAAGGCTGGGGTCGGAGCTGGACGAGGAGTTTGCGGAGGAAGAGGTGGCAGGGAAAGACCCGCCCAAGACTGCCAAGACGCCCAAGACCGAGACTCCTGAGACTGGCAAAGAGGGAGGCGGGGGAGGCGATGTCGGAGGTGGCGGCGGTGGCGGCGGTGGCGGCGGACGAGCTTCGCTGCCCGAGATAGATGCCGAAAGCCGCGGTCAGGCTCCTCTTGTTGCTGGGGGCAATGCCTGGATCCGCAAAGCCAATGAAGAGGCAGACAGAGCTGCCAGACGACAGATCAGTGCTGCTACGAGCCAAGCAGCTGAGGCGAAAGGTTATAAGCTTGGCAGTTCCATTGTTCGGCTTCACCACGTGGATGAGCTGGTGGCAGGGACGAAATTGCTCTCCCCGAGCTTGAAAGGTGCGCATTGGCCAAGCCTTGGGCCGCTTGGGAAGGAGAAAACAGTACTGTGTGTAGAGCGAGGCACCGTATTGGATGTCGCCGTGCAAGAGGCCAAAGCTGGAGAAGCTGTTGTTGCAGTCAATGCCGCGTCGGCCTATCACGCTGGGGGTGGCTTCTCGACCGGGGGGCGCCATGCCTTGGAGGAGGCGATGTGCGTGCAGTCCTCGCTCTACAAATCCTTGGAGCACGGCATCGGCTTGGCCGAAAGCGCCGGGGTTCAAGCTCCGACATGGGTGCAACCGGCAAAGCGGCGAGATGGAAGCCCTTGGATGTCCCACCTCCCGGACGATGGCGTCTTGCTGTCGCCAAAGGTGGAAGTTTTCCGCGGCGGCACAAATGAGGGATACCCCTTCCTGGATGAGGCGGTGAAGTTGGAGGCCGTGGTTTCAGTCGCCATGCCAAATCGCAATGCCAAAATGTCGGACTCACCAGTGGATGCGCATCCAGAGGACGAGGCCTACAAGACACAGCTTCTGCAGAAGTGGCGCGCTGTCCTGACAGCCGCGTCTTGTTGTCTAGAGGCCACCTCTTTGGTGGTGCCTGACGCAGGGTGCGGGGTCTTCTACAACCCCCCAGAGGAGGTGGGGACAAGCCTTGGCGAGGTGCTGAAGGAGTTCAATGGTCGTTTCAAGCGAGTGCTGGTAGCCTTTCCAGGTGGCAAGGCAGGCGAAGCTTTTGCAGAGGCAGCAGCCGCTGCATTTGCTCGGGAAAAAGCTGCCCAAGATGCAAGTTGAAGGCAGCATCTTTCTTCCTTGGGGACTGATTCAAAAGGAGTCCTGGTCCATCATGTTTATCCTCAAGCTGGATCATGCTCTGGTGGTAGTGATTATACAATGATGCTTTCTCTTGCCAGCTTTGCTCCTGACGCTTTCAGCTCAGCGCGCAGAGATTTACAAGGCAGCATGCTGTGCTGCGTTTCACTGAGGAGTTAAGGTATGTTTGACCCGTTACAAGGCATTAAATGCTCTGTAGACTTGGTCGGGTGAATGGGTCAAGCAAAAGGCCCGCTGATGCCACCTTTTGATTCGCGTGCAATGCGCTGCAGTTGGCCACTGAGCTGTTGTCTTAGGCGGTGCCATGCTGGCCTCTGGGCAACGGCACCAGCCTCTCTTCCAGGCAGCCGCTCAGTGCAAACTTATGGCCAGCGCTTTGCGAAACTGCCTGCCTTTCACTGGGAACTTGACATCGCCAGGCTCAACTTGCTCGCCTGCGGCACATGCACTGCCGGCCAATGGACCGCGCGATCTCGCGCAGCACATTGACATCAGCTTCGACTGTTTCACTTGCGTTGCCAAGTGGAAGGTGGCAGCTAGCTGCTGGCAGTTAAAAAATCCCACGCTCTGGAAGGCTTGCCGAACTGGAAAGGCCAAGGGCAGCAGGTCTGGTGACGCTTCACTTTCGCTTCCCACCGCAGTTTCACACATCAAGCTGGCAGTAAGTCAGTCTTTGCCAGAGCCGTGCAAGTTGTACCTGAATTGGTCACGGCCAAGGTGCTGAGCTTGGTGCCATTCAGTTGGGTTTGCGGCTTGCCAGGAATTTGGCCTCGGCAGCGCTCCGGCTCCGATGCGCGCCTCTCATCTCATGAACCAAACCCGCCACGCCGCCGCTGTGCGATGCAGGGCTGATCCACTTCCGCGGGCTGTGCTCGGCCCAGACATGCCATGAGCCCATGTTCCGGTGGTTTGCCGTCGCATCAGGCAAAATTCAGGGTGAGGATTAGCATTGTCCGTTGGGGCCTATCCAAGAAGCGATGGGAGTGCATGCACATTTTTTTCAGGAGCAGCCAACTTGCGACCTGCTGACCTGGCTTTGATTGGTCAAAGCAAGAAGGGCCCTCAGGATTCTGAAGTTCTGCAGTAGCACTTTTGGCGACGGATCCTCAAAGAGTGCCGCAATTTTCAGGTCTGACCCGTACTGCATCTGCAAGCTATCTGGGTGGCTGCCTCAGGTGATAACAGCGCTGTTTGGCGATGTGCAACAATGTGCACTTTGCTGGCAGGCGACCTGACACAGAAGTCAGAACTCCAACAGTGATGAAGACGCCGAGTCCTGACTTTGAGGTCTTTAGTTTTTGTGGAGCTGTGTG